CCTCTAGTTTTACAATGTTAAATTAAGGACGGCTAGCGCAGATAGCCCTCGTGTAACTTGGCGCGAAATTCAAAACAAACAATCTTTTGCCATCAAAAAATAGATATAGACATTAAAATCCTGATTGTATTTGATGTAGAAGTTAATAGACGGCGTGTTTAGGCCTTTTGATCGCCATTTTGAATTTTGCTAAAAAAAGCACATTTCCTCAAGGTTGATTTGGATTTTTTTGGATTGATTTTTTATCAAAAAAAAGGAATTGGCTTAAACATTTGCTTGTTTTACTAAATATCTAACTTCATGCCAATTTTTATTGGACTAAATTAAGCCCTATCATGACTGGCTTATTGTCTTTCACGATAAATTATAAATTGAACCCGCACTAATGATAATTGAACATAACTCACAGGTTTCGGCGTCAACTTGCAACTTCATCGACTCACCAAAATAGCATTCTTAAGCATAGTCAGTTTCTCACTATTATGAAATTACTGCTTTACGTGTAGCGTTAAACATAGAACAAGTTCAAATAACTGAATTGAATATAGAATATGATCACACATCAAAGTAAGATACACTTGATAACTCACCTTTCTTGATAAAAACAAAAGGGTCATATCTTGATTAATGTTCTTAGATAAAATGTATTTTGAATTAAATTATTATCATGCGGTCATTTACAGCAGCAAGTTCCCTACCAGGATAGGCGACCATTTCCAATTAATGACGTGCAAAACACAGAGATGATGCTTCCACCAGAGGGCGTACCTTTGCCAACTTTATACTCCAACAATTACGCTTACAACAGTCCTACGGAAGAAGAAAATGTTGAGTCCGAAGGTATGTGGCGAAACCCTTACAAGGACATAATGCGACGTTCTTACCTTTACCCAACTGATTACCGATACTTTGTGCTACCAAGCCAGAAGAGGTCACCACCAACGCCAAGGTTAGATGACAACGGTCAGTGGGGACAAATTATTCAGCGCCACCAATTATATGACACAGACAATGCCGAGGATCTGGAACGACTATATGCGTTAGCGAGCTTACTTTCGGATGAAGGTTCCGACAGAGAATACAGTTACAGAGGAAATGCTCATGAATAAATTCTGAATAGCAGTAGCTATTAGAATTCAGTAAGGTGTCGTCTGAATTCGTTGTTGTGTTGTTGTTTCTTGCTTCGAGTTGCAAAGTGATTGGCGTGTTAAAATAAAGATAATATTTCAAATCAAATATATGCTGTGTTAAATGTCTAATGAAATCGTAGTTTTAATATAAACAGTGAAATCATGGTTCTACGTGTTTTGAATATTATATGAATTTGATTATAATTTCCGAGCATAATGTGCAGTATTTTATCTTCTTAGCTTTGATAGTATTAGGATTCAGAAGTGGCTCTAAGGGCAGCCACCGAACTGCTGTAATTGTAGAAAAAAAATAATAGGATTTATATGCAACCTTAATGACAGCATTTTAGTTGACGTTACCTTTTAAACGAAAAATGAGCGATAACTCCAAACGACAAAGATGTAAACTAATAGATAATTTTATTTAAAAGTGAAATTGAGGTCACATTTGTTAACCTTTTAATTGAATAATTATATATATATTTAAAGGAAGGTGCCAATATAAACACTTAGGACAAAATGGCAGATATTTAATTATAAACTAAATAAGGACATGTGTAATGTTTATTATTATTACAAACAAAAATTCGTAAATAAATACTAAGTAAATAAATATATATATAGCATCATCCAATGCATTTCACGTACTCTCGACGTCTATTTCTTCTTAGTTTCTTAGTTGTAACCTAATTTCCAATAAATTTACATCCAATAAAAAAGCAAAAGTATTTTATTTAGCCTAAAGCATACGTTTTTGAAAGCAGGTTTTTGTTTGTTTGTTTTTTACAAAAATATTGAAAGGTTATGCGAAAACATATATACTCGTATTATAACTTACAAAATATATTCAATGTTTTGTTATAAGTAGCCCGAGTAATGGAGCTTTATGTACTGAAGCAAACCATAATTAATAATGTATATATAAACTGATCCCCTGTTCTTATATTTCACGTTTACTTACTTACAGGTAACGAAAGTTACGTTTCAGTGTCAGAGTTTATTCTCACGTAGCACTTCAGCTGTTAATATAACACAATTATGAATGTATTGTACTGAGGAATGCTGTCCTTATATGTGAAATACTTTCAGCCACTTTATTCGAATGACTTATGCCCACTTCATCAAGTTCTCTTGATGTTGCTGGTAAGGTACTTGAGCTAGATGTATAAAACAAGAAATAAATTTTCATTCAGATACGCAGATTTTTACCCTTCCCTTTCTCACGCTGTTGTACGAAAGATATTAAACAGTCGTATAATATCCTGGAATATTTTATGGCTTTGGCGATGCAATGGTTATCAACAATGGTAGTTTCTGTTTCTCATGGAGGTGGTCTATTCTGAGTATTCTTTGTTATAATATTTTGTGAGATTTCAGCTGATGAATTTTGTGTTAACTATTAGAATTACAGAACGAAATTGATTTTTTGTAATAGCTATAGAGAAATAAAATCAAGATACTAAACAATTCACGCTTGCGAATGGTTATATTTTACAGTAAAATAGTAAAAAGATAGGTTACGTTAGAATTCCATCCATGTTACAAGCTACTTACTGTTTATTATGGTAGAAAAATTAAATACCTTGACATGCATGCTTAAAGAAACAAAAATTAGATTAATAAAATTTTTGCTGTATGAATACGTTTATCAAAATGTAGTTTATTTGTTAATCGTGTTATCATAAAAATAGATTGGAAAAATTTGGTTGTTAGTAATTTGAACGTTGGATTTCCAATATTATATTTGTTTTACGGTTTGTTTTCTTTCTTACCGAACAACCATCAACATACCATACATTTCATAAATAGTTATACGTTCCATGAACTACCATTTGCAACAAACAGTGCAAACCAAATATTTCATTTCCTGCAACTAACGCGGCCGTCTTCAGAAGCAAAAAACATTCATAAGTTAGGTTATTATCAATGTATTCAAAGAGGTTCAGTTGAACATAATGATATGTTCAAGTAACAAGAGCTATCTAGAGCTCTAAAAGTATGTTCAAGTAACAAAGTAGTCTAAAGCCCTAACAATACGTTCAAGTAACAAAAGTGATGTGGAGCCCTAATAATGTATTCAAGTAACAAAGGCATCTAAAGCCCTAATAATATACTCAAGTAACAAATACATCTAAAGCCATAACAATAGGTTCAAGTAACAAAACGCTACCTGGAGCTGTAATAATATGTTCAAGTTTGCAAATGACAACTAGATCCCCAATAATATGTTCAAGTAACAAAGGTCATCTAAAGCTCTAATAATATGTTCAAGTAATAAATATCATCTAGAGCCCTAATAATATGTTCAAGTAACAAAAGTGATATGGAGCCCTAATAATGTATTCAAGTAACAAAGACATCTAAAGCCCTAATAATAGGTTCAAGTAACAAAAAGTCATCTGGAGCTGTAATAATATGTTCAAGTTTGCAAATGACATATAGATCCCCAATAATATGTTCAAGTGGCAAAAGTGATATGGAGCCCTAATAATAATATATTCAAATAACAAAATATATCTAGAGCCCTAACAATATGTTTAAGTAACAAAAGCCATCTGGAGCTGTAATAATATATTCAAGTAACAAAAGCCATCTGGAGCTGTAATAATATATTCAAGTAACAAAAGTCATCTAGTGCCCCTGTAATATGTTGATTTAGAGATCTAAATAGGCTCTATTAACAGCATGTCATCTAGAGCTGTAATAATATCTTATGTTAACAGTAACTCATCTAGAACTGTAACAATATGTTCTGTTAACAGCAACTCATCTAGAACTGTAATAATGTTCTGTTAACAGCATGTCATCTAGAACTATAACAATATGTTCTGTTAAGAGCAAGTCATCTAGAGCTGTTATGATACGTTCTATTAATAGCAAGTCATCTAGAGCTTTAATATGTTGAATTAAAAGCAAATCATCTACAACTGTAATGATATGTTCTATTAACAGCACGTCATCTAGAACTGTAATAATATGTTCTGTTAACAGCAAGGCTGTAATAATATCTTATGTTAACAGCAACTCATCTAGAGCTGTAATATTAAGTTCTGTTAACAGCAGGTCATCTATAACTGTAATAATATATTGTAGTATTATCGGATCATTCAGAGCTGTCTCAGCTGATCATCAGTAGATTTAATGACATTAGAAATATATGAAAACTCCACTGGTTTTGACAGGCCTTCTTCGTGGGTAAAACCATTGTCTTTAAAAAATCAGTCCCATAAGTCGAAAGTGCTAATTTTTTATCGTTTTGTTTCTTTTTTTGTTAACATGATTTATCGAATATTTTTGAACACTAATGTTTTCTACTATCATGAAAATAGTTTTAATGATATATTCTAGTAACATCAGACTATCTACAGCCATTAAGATATATCTTAATAGTAGTAGAAGGTCATATCTATAGCTCTTAAGGTATATTCTAGTAGCATCAGATCATCTAGATCTCTGATGATATATCCTAGTATTCTATTAACAGCAGGTCATCTAGAAATGTAATAATATGTTCTGTTAACAGCAAGTCATCTAGAGCTATAATAATATCTTATGTTAACAGCAACTCATCTAGAGCTGTAATATTAAGTTCTGTTAACAGCAAGTCATCTGTAACTCCACTGTTCTGTTAACAGCACGTCATCTAGAACTGTAATAATATGTTCTGTTAACAGCAAGTCATCTAGAGCTGTAATAATATCTTATGTTAACAGCAACTCATCTAGAGCTGTAATATTAAGTTCTGTTAACAGCAAGTCATCTATAACTCCACTGTTCTGTTAACAGCATGTCATCTAGAACTATAACAATATGCACGTTCCCTTGGCTGTGGTTTCGCTAGATAGTAGATAGGGACAGTGCGCGTCACTAATTAGATGACGAGGCATCTGGCTACCTTAAGAGAGTCATAGTATAATAGTAGCATCAGATCATCTAGATCTCTGATGATATATCCTAGTATTAGAAGGTCATCTATAGCCCTTAAGGTATATTCCAGTAGCATCAGGTTATCTAGAACTCTGACGATATGTTCTAGTAGCAGCAAGTAACTTAGAGCTGTGTATATACGTATACTTCAACAAGTGGAACTCATTAATAGCATTAATGATATGTTCCAATGATACTAAGCCGGCTAGAACCTCGACAATGTGTCCTAGTAACAGCTGGTCATATAGTCATAATGATATGTTTTTAAGAACAGCACATTACATAATATCACCCAGAGCTTTAATGTATAAAATTGGCAAAAGGAATTCTGAGATGTAATAATGGTAAGTTCTACCTAAAACTCATCTTGTAAAGCTTTAGCTGTAGCATATTCCTTAGACATACTCTCTGTTGAGGGTTGTAATTTGATAAAATCAGACAATCTTAAGTAGTATACATCAAAATCTATTGAAAACGAGGCTTTTTGATCCGTGATTATGAATTTATCTATTGACACCGGTTTTTGCATACCCACGAACTGATCTAATAATAAGCAGATCTTCTTGTTTTAGAACCACCAAGTAACAAAGATATATCAGATTATATAAATCATAAAACTTTTTTATGGCAGAAGGATTTTCGTTTGTTCGTTAAAATGAAATTATTCAGTAATAACAAATAATAACAAGCTTTTCCTGCAGTCACTTATTAACTCACAGCAGCTTTGACGTATTCGCGTGATGTTTCAATAGCAGTATTATATTATATGACGTATTCATGTGATGATCTATTAGCAGTATTATATTATATGACGTATTCATGTGATAATGTATTAGCAGTATTTTATTATCTGACTTATTCATGTGATGATTCAATAGCAGTATTATATTATCTGACTTATTCATGTGATGATCTATTAGCAGTATTATATTATATGACGAATACTGCTAATAGATCATCACATGAATACGTCATATGATATAATACTGCTATTGAATCATCACATGAATAAGTCAGATAATATAATGCTGCTAATATTTCATCACATGAATAAGTCATATAATATAATACTGCTAATAGATCATCACATGAATAAATATTATATGACGTATTCATGTGATAATGTATTAGCAGTATTATATTATCTGACTTATTCATGTGATGATCTATTAGCAGTATTATATTATATGACTTATTCATGTGATGATCTATTAGCAGCATTATATTATATGACGTATTCATGTGATGATCCAATAGCAGTGTTTTATTATATGACGTATTCATGTGATGATCTATTAGCAGCATTATATTATATGACGTATTCATGTGATGATCTATTAGCAGCATCATATTATATGACGTATTCATGTGATGATCCAATAGCAGTGTTTTATTATAATAACTACTGTAACTAGAAAGAAAATTAGTTAATTCCAAAGAAAATAGTCAGCAAAACTTAATAATTGTCATTGGCCAGTTGTTAGAAAGAACATTTTGTACGTAACTAATTATAATGTAGATTGTAAACCACTTAAATTTGTGAAGACAATTTTAGTCACATAGTTATGTAACGTTAAACCGACAGGGTCAATAACTTGTCTCAAACTCAGCGATTATTGAGTTCTTGTTAAGATTAAAAACAAAAGATAAAAATCACACGTAAGGAGTGGAAGGGAGAAACTGGTAAATAACACAGTTTCGTTCTGTATCATTACTCACTTCATCCCTGTTAATATCGAAAAGTTAGGAAACATACAGAAGTCAGCCATTGATCATTAGGTTTCATCACATAATACATCCATGTTTCAATATGAGAGGAACAAATTAACAATAGAATAACTCAAATACAGTTGTAAAGCGAATACACAGTGTATATGATTCAGAAGTTGGCATTTTAAGTAAAAAAGATCCTTATGACTAGTTGTCCAAACACTATAGAATAATATCGAACTTCTTAGGATTTATCAATAAGCATTTTTTCTAAAGATCGGCCTTTGAGTTTGCTTCCGACGTCAAGATAAAGCTCAGTTCTAGGGGAAATCAGCATAGAAAAAAGTATAGGCTAAATCCAGAAATTGTTTGAGTGGTATTATTGTTTAAATTAGTGTATGCGGGACGTTCAAACTGATTAAAGCATTAATTGAGCTAAGATTAAATGAAATATATAAAAATGTTAGCTTATTGGTGTAACCAAAGTAATGATCAGTGATAACTATTGTAAAAGTAAATACTGAATAACTGTTCGCCGTTAAGAAACCTTTTCTAAATTTTGGGACACACTGTTTTATTTGTTTTCAACGTTTATAGAATGTGTAACGCCCCCAGTGGCACAGCGGTATGTCTGCGGACTTACAACGCTAGAATCCGGGTTTCTATATCCGTGGTGGGCAGAGCACAAATAGCCAATTGTGTAGCTTTGTGATTAACGACAACCAAACTATAATTTATAGTCATGTTAGATTCAGTGGCTGTTTTGTAGGGGAAATTCGTTAGTTAAACCGACAATAAAGAAGTGAAACGTAATTTAATCACCCAATTGAGA